GCTTCGTTCTTATGGGGGAGACTTGAAGAGAGAGCTTGAAAGGGAGTAAGGAACATGTGAAGTTTGAGAGGGAGAAGATCCTGTGAGGGGGGACTCAAGGGAGTGTGGAGGGGATTCCACACGGTTGCTCCGACAGGCTTGCATCTTAATACCGTCGAATTCAAGGCTTGTCTCGAGGAAAGTTCACCAAAGAAGAAGTTCACTTTGGTGTCAAAGAACCCAGCGACTCCGCCGCACCGGGGAAGGTGGAAGTGATTTTGTAAGCGCTTCTCCGCCTAGCTGTAGGGGCTAAAGGAGAGACACTTGTTTAGAGCAATACTTAGAGGGTGCCTCTAAGGAGTGGACGTAGGTCGAGGTTTGACCGAACCACTATAAATCCGGTGTGTTCTTTTCTTATTATTGCTTCCGCTTTATTTTCTTCCGCACTTGATTTATGTGGTGATTTTTGTTTGATTTTTCTCTTTAGTTTTAAAGTTATCCAATTCACCTCTCTCTTTGTTATCTTTGGGCCAGTTCTATAGGGCTGAACATCCCTAACGCACTTTCAAGTGCCATCAGAGCACTTTCAAGTGGTATCAGAGCTTTACTTTTGATTAGAATAACTTTCAAGTGGTATTAGAGCTGGTTTCAAAAAATAAGTTTTTTAAAGCTTTTGATTTTTGATCCATGGCTAATTTTTCAAATCATACTATTGCGGAAGGTTATTCAATCATGAGACGACCTTTATTTGAAAATATCCCATTTCATTTTTGGAAAATTTGCATGACTATTTTCTTGCAATCGATTGATTTTCGCAATGTGGCATATGATTTTAACTGGTTATTCATCACCGTCATGAATTGTTAATGAAGTTAAAATTGATATTCCTTTTAGTCAATGGAACAGGGAAGAACAACTCAATGCTCAATTGAATGTGAAGTCTTTAAATTTTTTTCCTGTGCTTTAAATTCTGATGATTTTATGTTAGTATCCACTTGCACTATCGGTAAGAAAGTTTGGGATAAATTGCACACCGTATACAAAGGCACTAGTGAAATTAAGCAATCCAAGTTGAATTTGTTAATGCATGATTTTGAATTATTTTCCATGAAACCTTTTGAAACGATCTTTGACATGTATACTAGATTCATTCAACTTGTAAACTCATTGCATACTTTAGGAAAAGATTTTTAAAATTTTGAAAAAGTTAACAAAATTCTTCGATGTTTTCTGGATAAATTTGATTCTAAAGTTGTTGTTATTTGTGAATCTAAAGATTTGAATGTATATTCTTTTGATAATTTGATTGGTTCACTCATTTCCTATGAGCAAGGTTTGGGTCAAAGACTTTTTGATGCAGATGAAATGATTGTTCTACAAGCTGAAGATACGGAAAGAAGAAGCTTAGTTGGTGACGATAGAAATGACTTGTCAAGCAAATCACAAAGCTCACCAAAGCATAAACAAAAGTGAAAAAAAGGTAAAATTGGTAAGGATGTTAATATTTCCTTTGATGTTATTTGTTTTCGATGTAGGAAACCTGGACATATAAAAAATGAGTGCCCTAATTTAAGAACTCTTCCTACAAAAGAAAAGGGCAAGGCGGAGCAAAATTTAAACTGGGGAAAAAATGAAAGGCAAAAAATCTCATGGGCAGATCTTGTTTCTGAAGCATCGGACCAGGAGAGAGATAATGGTTAAAATCTTTTCGTGTTTTTGTGTTGTGTTTTTGTTTTTATATTTTTTTATTTTTATTTTGTGTTTTTGTTTTGTTTATTCTTTGAAAGTTTTTTTTCATGAAATGTTTTTCTCTGATCAACACACACATTCACTTTTCTAAAAAATAAAAAATCTACCTCCTTTTTTTTTTTGAAATCTTTAGTAAGTTGTGATTGACTTCTCTAAAAATAGTCAAAGGAAGGAAACTCATGTTTTTGACTCTCAATCTCTATTTCCTAAAAATATTTAATTATACTTTTGATTTAAAATCTTTTTCATCTTTTAAATTATTTTTTGAAACAATTTTTTAAACTTCCTATTTTTATTTATCGCATAGGAATCTTTTGCAGGGTGTTGAATCTACATCATAATTTTCATAATCAGGAATTTTGATTTTTGTTAATAATATGGGTTTACTTTTGGTTTTTAAGATTTTAGAAAGGTAGCATATTTAAAAAAATTGGCCAATGATGCCAAAAATAAAAGATGCGCAAAGACGCCAAATTGAAAAAAAAAATATAGAATAAACAAAGTGTATCAAAAGATGCGCAGTGTGCTAACCAATTGTCAAGAGGCATAAAATGAGCCCACAAAATTTTATTGCTTACCATTCTTGTACTTCTTAAAAGATTAAGAAAACCCTTGATTCTTTCGATACTTGAGTTTGAAAATCTTGATTCTTGATTCAACAATTCGTGCATTGATCTTCTATTAGATATATTTTATGGAAGGAGTTTTTGAAAAATGATTGTTTCTTTCTCTAATTTATTCCTTGATTTTGATATTGAATTAAAAAGTTTTTGAGCCTTTTTAAAAAAACTTGAGCTTGGATTAACAAATTCTGAATTTCCAACCTCTTCTGGGCTATACGTTGTCAATATAATTCTACTAAGTTTTTGATTAAAACTATAAGAGGTAAATTTCCCATTTTAAGATTATTTTTTTTCACTAGATCAAGGAATGTTTTTGTCTTTTGTTCATTTTTTTTTGTTTGTGCCTCCTCTCTTTTTAATAATGTCAAAGGGGGAGAACTTAATGTTGAATTTGTATCTTTTTTTTTTCAAAAAAATTAAAAACAACAAAAATATTTTTTTTATCTCCCCTATTTTTTAAAAGCGTTATTCTAGTAAGGGGGAGATTATGAGAAATTGTTTTTTTTTAATTCAAATTGAATTGTTTGCCATCATCAAAAAGGGAGAGATTGTTGCGGATCAATGGTTTATGATTTTAATGATAGCAAACATTTTTTAATTCTCTTCGATTTCCTTATGTGCTAACGTTTCAGGCCCACACGATCAGACTATAATTTGGAACCAGCTAAAGATTAGGTAGACTAGGTCTGAGTCTGTTTGTAATCTTTTTCCTTTCTTGAGTCTATTGTATTTGGTGTGGGATCTGTTGATTTGTATCTTGGAATATTTCTTATTGTTCCCTGTAAGATTTCTATTTTTGGTAATATCGGTCGGGTTGATATTTATATCATCCTGGACGATCTGTCTTAAAATAGAAATTCTAATTAGGGCATCCTCATTAAGGAAGCCGTCATTAACTGATTTGTCTGGACGATTGTCTCAATTCAGAAAGAATCAATCACCATAATAAGTTTAGGAATTCTTTATTTCAGGAAATTGTCCAGGACGATATTTATATCGTCCAGGCCGATCTAACTCAATTATGCCTAAATTGATCTAGTATCTTTGGAAAGCATTAATGGTTAATTGATACGATCACATTGTCCGGGATGATCGCAGGATCGGCCGGGACGATGTCCTGGATAATCTACATCAGACAGCTCGAATTCAAGGTGATGATCAGGACGATTGAAATCAGTTTTAAACTAATCAGCCAGGATGATCGTGTTATCGGCCAGGAAGATGTAACCAATTTTCTTATGATCGTCCCAAATCGTCCCGGGCTAATAAGCTGAATTTGTACTGATTGGCTAGGATGATATACCTATCATACTGGATGATAATGTCGGCATCTTGCATTAATGAGCTCATTTTGAGAGCTTCTATTTAAGCTTTGTTGAGGAACTTTTGTAAGTGTCTTTGGCAGCCATTGTAGCTTCGTTCTTGTGGGGGAGACCTGAAGTGAGAACTTGAAAGGGAGTGAGGAACGGGTGAAGTCTGAGAGGGAGAAGATCTTGTGAGGGGGGGACTCAAGGGAGTGTGGAGGGGATTCCACACGGTTGCTCCGGCAGGCTTGCATCTTAATACCGTCATATTCAAGGCTTGTCTCGAGGAAAGTTCACCAAAGAAGAAGTTCACTTTGGTGTCAAAGGACCTGGTGACTCCGCCGCACCGGGAAAGGTGGAAGTGATTTTGTAAGGGCTTCTCCGCCTAGCTGTGGGGGCTAAATGAGAGACACTTGTTTAGTGCAATACTTGGAGGGTGCCTCCAAGGAGTGGACGTAGGTCAAGGTTTGACCGAACCACTATAAATCCGGTGTGTTCTTTTCTTATTATTGCTTTCGCATTATTTTCTTCCGCACTTGATTTCTGTGGTGATTTTGGTTTGAGTTTTCTTTTTGGTTTTAAAGTTATCCAATTCACCTCTCTCTTTGTTAGCCTTGGGCCAGTTCTATAGGGCTTATCCCCTAACGCACTTTCAAGTGCCATCAGAGCACTTTTAAGTGGTATCAGAGCTTTACTTTTGAATAGAATAACTTTCATATGAAACTTCCTAAATTGAACCCACCATCGGTGTAACTCATTGGCAATCACATGAATTGGGACATCCTTCCCAAAAACCTTTACTATAATAGATAATTGTAGCTTTTTCGTTTCTATCCTCATAAAGCATAGATTCCTCCATGTTAAAATTAACTCTAATATTTGAACGCTTCATCCATGGGTTGTTGATAGATTGCAGAGGAATAGAGCATTATTTCGACTTCACTTCAGAAATCTTATACAAACTTCCTTCTAGAACAATAACACAAGCATTAAAAGGATTTTCTTTTCCCAGATTGGTTTCCAACTCATCCTTCTCTAGACAAAAAAGGTTTGCGAGTATTGTTAATAAGCCTATTAGCAATCAACTTCATACTAGAGGATGAAGAAGTTTCAAAATCATTCAAAGCTTTATTTGAAATTGATCCTATAGAAGGATGCGGAGATTTATTTCATTTCATTCATAAATCCTTTACCTTTACCAGGTACATGAGGATATTTTGATCATAAAACCATAGAGGGTTCATTGATCTTCAATGTAACATTAAATGATCTGTTACAAACATCGTTATTACCAAAAGTATTGGGATTGGATGAAGAAATACGACAACAAGTAGTAGATGCCACCTCATCCACCGTCATCGACATGAACTCTGCCAAAATAGCATAAGCAAATTTTCTTAAAAAAATAAGTTTCTCTCTCTAAGTTACTGGGAGCTTTTTTCTCTAAGTTTCTTAGAAAATAATTGTAACTTAATCTAGCTATACAAATATCTAAAACATTTACATCCTTAAATGTGCATTTTCCTTTACATTATTTTTTAGGTACATTATGCTTATGCAGGAATAGAAAGGAGCAATTATAAAAATGTACATATTAAATGGAGATGTGTGAGCCGATATATATATATATATATATTGAAAAGAAATTAGCATGACTCTGAATTTTACGTAGATCTCTTGTGCACCAACAAAATGGAGATATGACATCCATATTTTAGAAAGTAAATACACAAAAATGAGAACCCTCTAGGAAAGACAATACAAGAAAATAAAATCAAATCTTTGGCCTAGCCTAGGCTAGAGTTGGTTGTCCTAGTAAAGTATATAAGTATGTGTAGAGGATTAAGAGTGGCTTGGATAGTTCCTTAATTTTTTTTAGTTTAAAATTGATTATAATTGATTTGGTTTGTTTAAGGTATTTAGGGTGCTTTGAATTTAAGTATTTAATGATTTAGATATTTTAAATTTTATTTTAAATAGAATTTTAATTGTCGTAATTTTTAATTTTAGATTTTATAGAACATAGCACTAAATTACTTCTAAGTGCCAGAAGAAATTAATTAGCAAGTCCTAGACTTATATTTGTAATTCTACTAGTTCTCCGAAACTAGGGTAGATGGACAGTATAGAATCTTCCATTTTAATTAAGTATTTTAGTAGTTTTTTTTTTTTGAAGAAGTGCATAAGTATTTTGGTAGTTAAATCTTGAAATTTAATGCACATTTGTCCAACTAAAAGGAATCAAGCATAAGGCTATAGATTTTGTAACGTTTAAGTATTTTATCAATAATTTTAAATTAATTGGTAACATTTATTACTCATTTATCAAGATTACAAACTAATATTTAAATTCCATTAAATTCATTCATGGTGTTGACACAACGGGTATGAGGACGAATGCCTCAAGATACGTAGCCCTGTATCTCGATGTAGTTCAGCCTAAAAATATTATTAATAGAGTGTTCATTATTTTTTTTACTATTATTATCTAATTTAATTCTTTTGGTTAATGATTTATTAACATTTTAATGATTTATTGATTTTATTGAAAATTTTATTGTATTTAATGTTTGACAAATTTTAAACTTATTAATTTACTGTTGTTTATGAAATTTTTATACATTTTATAAATTATAGATTAAATTATTACTTGAATGCCTTTGAATTTTTTTTAATTTAAAAAATTTAAAAATTATTTAAGGATTTTATATGTTTATGTTATTTACCTAGAATTAAATTTTACCAAATAATTGACTTTTTGATTTATAGTGATTTTAAAATTTTTATATCTTTCAAAAATATATGATGTGATTATGAATTCAATACTTTTGAGTTAGTTAATTTGGATATCTCTAGATTTATTTATGAATTTTACATGCTTAATGTATTTTTAAATATTAGGTTTGACTAAATATTTAACTTTTTAATTTACAATGATTTTTTAAATTTCTTTCTTTTTCAAAAATACTAGAACTAGAGATGAGCCCAATACCTTTGAGTTTACTGGATTTGAAGTTTTATATGATTAGTTATGAATTTCATAAACATGATGCATTTTATGTATTAAGATTAACCCAAATATTGAATTTTTGATCTATAGTGAATTTTTTATTTTTATAAACACTAGACTTTGAGATGACTCAAATGCCTTTTAGTTTGTTTCATTTGGAATTTTGTATAATTAGTTATGCTTTTTTGAAGTTTAGAAATTTAATTGATTTTTTTTAATTAATTAATTTGGTCCAAACCTCTTAAAATTTTCCCCAAATGTCAGGAATGACTCTAGGTGATGATTTCAAGTGATTGAAATTATTGAGTGTGAGTGTGTGTGTGTGTATATATATATATATATATATACATACATACATACATATATAAATATATAATTTAATGAATTCTTATATTTTTTAAATTAAATTATTTTTTTAGGTGAATTTTTAAGTAACGTTTATTTTTCTTTTGTTAAGATTTTAATTATAAAAAATTTTATTTTAAATCTAACTTTTGGATTTGTTATAAATTTATTGAGAATTATGATAGATTTTGGATCGATTATGTACTTGAATCTTGTGTTCACTTAATAAGATACCAAATTACCTCTAAATGAAGTGAGATTTGAAATATAGATATATGAGTATATTTGCTTTAAACCCATTGAATTTAGGCTTGTCAATGTTCTCATAGGTTTCAAAACTAATCATTAAAGCTAAATGCATTTATAGCTTTGATAATTTATTACAGGATTTCTATTCATTAGAATTGTGTGAAATTAGTTACTAACTAACTCTTGTACAAATATAAACACACCACAGAAAAATTACAAGAAAATTATAAATATTTTAAGAGTTATGAATTTTGAAATTTGTAGGTCCAAACTAGACCCTTAACTTTGGAAATTCAAATCATAAAAATCAAGAACTCACCATTACCAAACAAAATTATAGGAGAGGAAAAACATGCTAAAAAATCAAAACTCCTAAATCATGCTCAATTTGACTACTGAATATTTGGAATATCAAGAAAATATTCATGCAAACATCTCTTATTTTCTTATGATACAATGATCAAATTACCTTGAAAATCTTTTCAAAAAATAGTAGAGCTGAAGCCATTTCCAAAGAGCCCAATAACACTCAAGTTGGTGGACATTTTTGTTTTAAATGATTTATTGAAGTTATATGCATTTAATTGGATTAAATAATGTAACGATCAACACCTTATTTAATCAATCGTTGGCAGTGATTGATTTTGTGGTGCCACACCGCCGCCACCGAAGAAAGTGTGGTAGCATTCAATTCATAAGTTATCCTCATCAGCAATCAGATCCAGTCGTCATTTCTATCATGGGAGGAACAGATGATCTGGATATGGCCACGTAGCATGCATAATATTAGAACATATTTACGTTCAAAACTTAGAGACATCATGTACAGTCCTATTTATCTGGGTTGTTTGATTGGCCGATCGGATGACTTATATTAAATTTGATTTGTTAAATTCAATTTGAACTAAATTTTTAAATGCTTATAACTTTTGATCCAACTGTCCAAATTAAATAAAATTTGAAATAGATGATACTCCAACCATTAAAAGCTTTGGGTAAATTGAATTTATATTTAAAACTTCAAGTGAAAATATTTCACTAACCAGTTAATGGATTTAAAAGATCTTGGACTCTAAGGATTATTTGAAAGATCCTCTTCAAGTTTCTAAAACGATTTGAGGAGTGATGATTTCCACTAGACCATCAGATGGATTGAGATTATCCTTTCTCTCCTTCTCTCTCTCTCTCTCTCTCTCTCTGGGGTTTTCTTGAATGGTGGGTGACAGGCAAAAGCTATGGAGGTGTTGGGGATCCTTCTATGAGGATTGAGACTGACTTTGATCAACCCCTTTTCTAAGGGAAGAGCTAGTACTTTTAGGAGAGAAAATGAGATGGAGTGCTTGGATCTTTCCACTTGAGTCAAGGTCAACAACCTTTTCAGTTAGGGACTTACCAACAGGATCTAAGGGAAGGTTCTACAGAGTTTGAAAGCACATGGCTTGTTGTTTAGGGGGTTATGGTTGAACCTTTTATTAGGGAGACTATTTTAGGGAATCTTACTATATTAGTAGCTGAGGTGGCGTAAGCTTAACATAATCAATAGAGTGAATGTTCTAGAGCATATTCAAACCTTTGGTTGGGTCCAATTTTGGGTGGATCAAGAATGAGCCAAAGAAAGTGGATTCTGGGTGGCTCGGTTAACCACAAAATATTGACCCAAGTTAAAACATGGATTGGGCTTCATGGGTCATGTACATTGGGTACATACACACTTGCTATAGTCATTTAGGGAATTTAATTTTTTAAGTGTCGGTTTTGGCTCAAAAAATTCCCTTTTGGTGCCCTTGCTTCAACCTAAATGGTTAAACCATGTGGTCCCATGAGCTTAAATATTTTTGGATGACTCATGGGGATCCAATGAGTTGTCCCTTAGATTTTAGTTCAATTGTGTTGTCAAAATTTAGAGTTTAAAATATTTAAAGTGTGTATGGTATGTTTTAGTCAACCATGATTAACTTGGTCAACCATGTTTGATTAGGGGTCAATGGTGGGTCAAACTAGTTCAAATTATATTTTAGATATGTTGGAAGTGGTCCCATGTAATGGGAATGCCATTTAGTCCAAAATGCATGTTTAATTGCTAAAATGTCCGTTTGGTCAACCTAGATTGACTTGGTCAACCTTGATTCAAAGCACTGTAAATGATGTTTATAATTTGTTGGAGGTGGTCTCAAGATTTTTTGGGGTTTCCTTGCATGCAAATTGGTTTAAAGGGATAAAAGGACAATTTGGTCAACATAGGTTGACATGGCAAATTGGTTGACCGAGGCTTGAGATTTAGTTCAATGCATTCCAAATCATATTTTGGATATGGTGGAGAAAGTTGCATGGCTTGATTTGATTGAGCCATACTGAGGTTTAAACAAGATCTATCTTTTCTAATTTAGGTTTTTAGCGTGTTATGGTCAACCAAAGTTCAACACTAGTTTAATGCATCATGCTAATGATGATGATCATGATCAATGATTTTGGAGAGGCTTCCAACACTGGTTTAATGCATCATACTTTTCTTACTAATTTTGATCATTTACGAGCTCTTTCACTTTTGAGTATTTAATGGAGTTAACCATAAATTTCTCCTTATAATATTTAAGATAGAGGAATGATTTCCATTAAGAAGAATGAATCAAGTACTTTCTCATAGAAATTTAAAACCAAGTTCAAAAATAAAATTCAGATTAAAGGATTTAATTTTGATTTTTTTTTTAAATTTTTTTTAAGATTTAGATCAGGACCCAGTCTAAAGATTTAAAACCAGAGGAGGTT